GACAGTTGGGCGGCGTTGCCGGCCTGTGGGCACACAGACACATCAGAAAAGAACGCTATAATTGACTTGGTGAACATGGAATTCCAGAGTGCTTGGACACATCCAGCATGTGGTCCTACTACGTGTGTTGAGACCACCAAAAGCTCCCTAGTTCCTGGAATGACGTGGACATCGTCCACAAAAAAGATACGACTCATTTTATTATCATGGAGGAATCGGAGCGCACATGTCCCGTGATCCTCGCGCAGCAAAGAACAAAAGCGCATTGCGCGGATTCCGCGGTGCGGAGCGAGCACTGTCTGGAGTACGACTTACAGTATTTTAAACGTGGAAAGAAGGCCAACGCACCAAAAAAGGCGTTTTTCGCCGCACCAAAAAAGGCGGTTGGCACCTCACGGGACGGCCTGCCCTCTTTTTGTGTCACATCGGACAAACTGCTAGCTAGCAACGATGAGGATGAACAAGAGGTCGGAGCAGACCTATAGTGATCCCCAGCATTCGTGGCACGGTTTGGTTCTATGACAGTTGTGTGCTTTTTTTCTGGAAAAGCCTGCAAAACCGTGACTGGCCACGCTTTCGTTTGGGTCAACTGTTTGGGGAGTGGTCAAGGAACGCGCGCAGACAGGCCTTCCTTTTGGGGTCCGAGCCGAGGGGGTGGTTGCTCCGCAGCCCCGGTTCGGTTCGCCTCCGCATCGCTCCGAGTAAGGCCAGGAGCCCGGATTCGTAGCTTCTTGTTATGGTGTTTTGTTTTTTAAAACTTCCGCGAGCGGCTCCTATGCCCGTGTCCTGAATCTGGAAGACCCGTGCTCCTTTGGTTTCAGGGAGCTGGCGGCATTGCGTTGGCCATGGGACTGGTCCGGATTGGTGCCAAACAGTGAATGAAGCCATGCTCGACTCCAGAACTGATCTTCTTACAACGGTGAACTGTCACTTGCTGCCAAATCTCATTTGCTGTTTCGCTTTGGTCTCTGCCGTGTCTATTGTGCCATTCTTCACAGCTGGGTGCCATCTCGCCTGGGCTGGTTGCTTTCTCGCAGACCATCGATGGTGTCAACACTGCGCATGTTGCCAATTGCTGCCAGGTGGTCCTCAACACTTTCGTCGTTCTGTGTCCATCGTTGGACTTCTCGCGCGACGGGGAGCAAGCCAGCTAAGTGCCAGACCACTCCAGAGCAAGTTGACCACGCTTTTTGCTGCGTCACCCGCTCACAAACCGTGAAGTTACATGCACCAGACTGTGCGCCGGGTGGCTCCCCAAATGAAAGTGGTTCACGGTCACAGAAACAAAATCACAGGTGCCGCAGGGGGCTTTGAGTCCACCCATGGCTTCCTGGGTGAGGGATCTGAAAACTGCGATGACCCTTACGTTGGTGAATGCCAGATCCATTCAATTGGGAAACATGAGGAGACTCGCGGGCACGGGACGCCTCTGTCTTGAGGGAAATCCTTCCTGGAATCTCGCATGCCACGGGTAGATCTAAGACACCAATCATGGTGGCACAGCCATCTTGAGGGTTTAGCATGCGGCTGATGCAACCCTTCCAGACCCTTCGCTTCGGAAGCGACCAGAACTGTGACGCCAAGGCGTCAGACGCTGCAGAAACGGACCTGAACCGGTGAACCGAACGCGACAACGCACGATCAAGCGACCGGGCCATGTGCTGTTGGTTTGCTCCCGATCTCAACACGCACTCATGTAAAACCGCTTCGAGCTCTTCCGGCGACCATCTCGAGCTATGCGGGTGTCCCTTCAAGTCATACTGCAAAGCATGAATGCGATGTCTGATGCGGTTCCTCAAAGGGTTAGAAGGAGCTACTGTATTGCCCTCAATTCTGCCTCCACTTTGCTTCTGCGCCAAGCGGACCGGACTTGGACTGCAGGGGCGAACGTCTGAAGGTTGGAGGAGTGGATGGTACCTTTTGCGGACTGACGTTGCACTGCACTGCTGGGGGCTTCACACTGGGTATGTCCCACCCAGTGTGATACGTCCAACCCATGTGATCATTGGTCTCCCGAAAACGCCACCACTGAAACTGGGTGCGACATGAGAGGTAGTACAAAATCGCATGTGGATTCCGCCGCGGCGCTTTGTTAGTGTCACACTTCCATGGTGCCTGCAAACCCGGTGCTTGTTTGCATCTGAGGAGGTTTTTCAATTCCATTAGGGAAGGGCTTATTCATCAAGAGTAGACATGAACCCCAAAAGCTTCGGTTTCATCGAAGGGTGGCACCGGAAGAAAGACTCGACCCGACCGGACCGTTCATGCGTGCGTCGTCCGATCTTTCACGTCCGAGCCATGGGGTCGCAGCGGTCGCGTAGTTTGTGGCCGCGGTCTTATGTGGACACATGCAGAATCTCGTGACCCAACCACAAGTCTGTTGGTTTGCAGACCTCCTTTTTGGCATTCTTCTACGTGATTGAATTCTTCTGTGCTGAAAAGGGTCTTTCTTTTTCCGCAGACCGCAACAAAAAACAAGAGACATCCAGTGCCCTCGCAACCGAAGGGCACCCCTTGAGTATCCCTGGGCTGTCTTCACAGCAAACAACATTGTGATTCGGGAGTACACTCGCAGTACACTCGCAGTACCAACACCTGAGTACCAACAAAAGCAGAGCCGTTGTGTTTTCTCCAACGCCGCCCGTTTGTTCGCCCCGTCAGGAGAGCCAGATGAGTTTCTTCTGCGATCTGCGTCCTGTTCTCGACTCCATCATCGGTCCGCCGCTCTTGGCCATGGGCCTTGTCCAGGTGCGGCCATTTCGTTGCTGTTGTTTTGTTGGGTCTTTTGGCCGTGAACAAAGGGGTTTTAAGGGGTCAAAACAGGGTGAGTCTTGGAAGAAGAAATCTGATGGGGCCCCATAACAATCTGTTCCAGTCCGCGGCCGCAGCAGCTAAACCAACCGCGGACTGCTTTAACCGGTGGTTGGTTTGAAGGAGCTGACTCGGTCTGAAAGTCCGGTACACTTGACTTTGACGAATTCCTCACGTCTGGCGTCGTTTGAACATGTTTGAAGCTCCGTCCATTTTTGGGTGTAGAAGCTTCTTGGAGGGTTTTTCTACAACCTGAAACAACGATCTTTTACCTGTATTTGCTGTGTTTCGCTACGTTTCACCCCCTTCGCGCCAGGATACCAAGCCTCGCAGTCTTCAAGATGCCCGCGATGACATGGAGAGCAGCTTGGACGGAATGCCATTTGTGCAGCCCATGTTGGTTGGATATGTCCTGTGGCAGCCCGTGTGTCGATCACACACATGATGACGCGTGGAGGGGGCTTTGGTGGTGTGGTGGCGTAAACCCAAAGATTTTTTTTTGATGATTTTGTGCTGTGAGGGTTTTAGAGGACTTGTATAGTAGGGGATTGCATGGGATTGTCCAACTGTTAGGTACAACCATGAAATTTTCTGTCGCCGAAGAGGGGAGCCTTCCCAAACCTTCAATCCCATGGCACTTTTGCAGAGTACTAGAACCTGATCAAGTAACCATGATCCCCGAAGCAATGACGGTGCCAGGCTATCATGTGCCACGCACAAAAAGCGCACACTTTGAGACGCTTCTGACTCGGCTGAACCTAGTAGCGATGGCCTCCAACCTAGGTCAAGCCCAAGCCTTAGGGGGCGAGTGCGCTACGCAGCAGAAGGAGCTGTCAGGTGAGGTCGAATAGCGAAAGCGCGGGTCGAAAGGAGGGCGGCCTATGAACGACATGGGTCGCCGCCTTTGCAACGCCATTCCTGAAGGAAACATGTTCTTGTAGGCATGTTGGCTTCGTGTTCTTCATTTTTGACCTGCCTGCCTGCCTGCCCGCCTGTTTGTGAATCTGATTTTGCTTGATGTTGGTTGTATAGCATTTGTGCGTTAAATAAAGATAAATATATATATATAGCATCGTCTTTCAGCCATCAAGCTTGCGTCGGCACCGATGGATCTGACGAACAGCATGACATGTTCGTCAACGTCGTGGAGTCGTGGAGCAGTGATCACAGATTTTCTATTGATCTCTGCTGGCTCATATTGGCTTCCCTGCCCTCAATCTTTCGTTGCTCCTTCCAGCTACCAGGTCTGATGAAGCTGGACCACTTGGATCTCCTGCCCACCGCGCCCGTCCCAGCCTTCTCCACCCGCGGCCGCAGCGCCTCGCCCGCGCCGCTGCCCGGGGCGCAGATCGGCAACGGCCTGGGCAGCGAGCGGTCCCGGTGGATGACGCGGGTGACGTCCGCGCCGCCGCGCTAAGGCGGGTGCCGAGTCGGGGTGGACGACGTCGTTGAAGCAGAGGTGGATGACATCGATGGACGACATCTCAGCAGATGGGAACATGTTTTTGACCGGTGGGGATGCGACACTCGGCCCCCAAGCCAATCCGCTCTCCCTTGGTTGGGGAAGTTGGGGTCGGTGTAATGCATGGTGCCACAAATTCAAAACCACATAGTAGCCTGTAATTATGTATTATAATGTATTATATATTTATGGATTATATATAAGGTTCAACTCGGATTCATGCATTTTCTCGTTTCTTTCTGCCTTGTGAGGTGCAGCTGGCCTCCTCTGTTGCGCCCACTCCTCTTCCAACTGCGCATGTCATGCACGGAGCGGTCTGGAACCGCTCCGGTGAGATGCCGAAATCGGCCAGAAAAAAAGGTGGGCAAAGCCTAGCAGATCGTCGATTTGATCTGAAGCGATTTGAAGAGCGGTCTGGTCAGAAACCGCGAATCGGAGTAGAACTAGACTCTTGATGAATCAAGCCCCCAGATGAAATCATATGAAGAGGATTGAAGAGGTTTTTCCATTCAATTATTACTTTTTCTAATCAAGAGTCCACATTAAGTCAAACGTGTCAGAGGTGGTATTCTTGGCAAACCGTGTTTTTTTGGTTTCGATGGGGCAAACGACCAAGTCGTCGACGAGGCTTCTGCGAGCGCGCGCGCGGCACGTTGGTTCGTGGACCGGATGGTCTGGGGTCCTGCCAACCACTTCCGGCCACGCGCCATCCAGCCCCGGCCACAAGGCACGAATGGCGGAGTCACTGAGAGACAGCAAGAGGAGAGGGAGGGCGGCTGGGATTGATGGGTTTGTTGGATCCACTTTGGACGCCAAAATCGTTTCATGGCAAATGGAGGGAGAGACCAACCTGGGTGAGAAGCGTTGAGCTAAGCATTTGCTTCGCTTTGAGCGTATCATTCAGTCAGGTTTCCGGCGAAAAATAGAACAACTGCCGTGTTGCCATTCCTTCGATTTATTGAGAGGACACAAATGGACATGCATGCCTCACAGACAGTCCATGGTGGGCGAAAAACTGCGAACATCGCGGCACCTGAAAACCCAGAACTCTTGTCTTTCTTCATCTGGAGAACCAGAGTTATCACAATACAGACCTCTACAACAGACATGGCCCCAAACCCAGAGCCATGACATCCAAAGACTCATCCTTCCATCTCCTTCCATCTCCTTCCATCTCCTTCCATCTTTCCGTCTTTCCACCGGCCCTCCCGACCATTCCTCTCGCCTTGCCGCGCCGCGTAAAGACACCCCCACCTTCACCCCATCGTCGTCCTTACGACGCTCGTTCTTTGCTTACGCGTGCGCCGCAGGAGCCGCGCCGCGTCGATCCGGCAGCGGGACGTCTTCCTGCTGCAACACTGGGGCGAACTGGTCCCCTTCGCCTCCAGGCGAGGTCGGACCGGACCGGTCGAAGCCGGAGACAGGGTGCGCGGAGACAGGGACCCGGTGGTAGACGAGAGTGGTCGAGAGATTGAGATGCTGTGGAAAAGAAGGGACAAACAAAGCAGAGGGAGCTCCTTCCTCTTGAAGATGAGCTAGAGCAGCTAGAGTGAGTCTAAAACACTGGTGGGAACCAAAGCCAGTCTAGTAAGATGCAGCAACTGCAGCTTACACTGGGTGGGGTTTGGCAAAGAGTTGAAGGACACATAGCAATACCTGGGACGCCCACTAAGCAGATCCCGCTTAGATTCAGATGGGCTGTGGAGCTAATATTAGCAAGTAATTAGTGAACAACTCCATGGATGATTCATTCCTTACTCACAGGATCCTAGGAGGCGTTTTCCAACTCGTCCTCTGTATGCAAGAAAATTCAAGAAAATCCAAGATGTGGATTTGTGGATTTGGGGAGGCCTGTGCATTTAAAGCCATCCGATGTCATGCCGATTTTGGGCCGGTTCCCCAATTTCACCTGAAGACGGCCCCGGCACCGCCATCGAAGCTCTGAGTATGTACTCTATGGAAGCCTGATAGTGGAGAGCCTGATAGTACGCTCCGTCACCGGTCACCGTTTGGGACCGTTCTCGTCGTGCTGGCCTTGACGCCTCCCGTCGCAGGCCGGCCTTGACGCGCATGCGTAAGGCCCGCGAGGCCGCGGAGAACGAGAGACGTCCGCGGCGGCGGCGGCGCAACGGAACGGCCGACGGAACGGAACGGTCGAACACGGCATGTGAGTTGGATGTGCAACTCTTTGCACCTGGAATCCCAGTCCCAACCAGAAACAATTGGTTGTGCAATTGAATCCTTTACATTAGGAAATGGCTGGGACTGGGTTCCAGGCAAAAGAACCGAAGCTTCTACTCGGAACCCTCTGCTTCGCTGCTCTGCTTCGCTGCTCGTCTTCAGGGCCGAAAGCCCCTGGAGGTGGGCACCATCGTCCAGGTCGGAGGGCCCCGCGAACCGTTCGCGCGAACCGTGTTCTTTCGACCGAAAGAAAGAAAGAACAAGGGTCAGTCACCCAAACGCTGGCGTTCAGTTCAAGCTTGGTCTATGGCGTCTATGGATGTCTTATGGATGTCATGATGTCACATCTTTCTTGGAATTGGTGGCTGACAGGTGGGTCAGCAACTCTGGAACTCCAAACCATTTTTTTGTAAATTTTTCAGATGGGCCTGCGTTCAGATGGATAAGAGAAGAAAGTTGAACTTCGACCTCGTTCGCCCCGCGGTCAGGTCGACACTGGTCGCACCTTCTACGACGCCTGGGGTGCCCAAGTACCGAAAGCTTGTTTTGGCCACGGATCGCCTCTATAAAACATAACATGGAACCTGGTCAGACCACCGGGAAGAGATGGGAAGAGACAGGAAGAGATAACAAAAACATGTTCTTACTTCTGAGGACAACAAGTATTTGTTTGGGGTGTGGAATTTTGGTCGCTGCGTGATTCCAGAAATCTCCTGAGTCCTGAGCATCGTTTTTAGTTGATTTCTATATTTGGAGATATCCTACCCGTTTCGGGGGTAGTATTTTTTCTGGGTTCTTACCTCTATATCCACCTCAGTTTAGCAAATTTACCAAACCAAAGAAACCCATGGGATCTCTCTTGGGATCTGTTTTTTCTTTGGTGTATTCTTAGTCTTCCGTGTGAATTTCGATGATGTTCATTGTTACTAGTAGCTTCTTGTTACTAGTAGTAAGGCCAGTTTCGCCCCGTTCGGTTCGCGTCCTTGTCGGACTCGTTGCGCGCCATCGTGTTTCGCTCAGGCCATCGTGCTCTCGCAAACGTCGCCTGCGGGCTGCGGACTTGGGACCGAACCGTGGAACGCGGAAGAGCCGATCACGACTGCTGATCACGTCGCCAACTCCGGTTGACGGCGGAGGGAGACCCGATGTGTTAGACTAGGGAGACCCTCTCTATGTTCCTTCTTCCAGGCCTTCCGGTGAAACCATGGGTTGAAACCGGTGTTTTTTCCTATTTTTCACACCCATCTCGTCTGAGTGACTGACCATTCCTCTATGGTTGTGGAACTCGAGTTCCACTTCGATTTTCTCCAATCGACTGATCGGCATGGCCAACCTGGGGCCTATGGGTCTTATCAGCAGGGTTGGATGATATATGTCATTGCCTGAACCATATGGATCTTGTGGATCACACGGGTGTCAACCTTCCAGTTGGTCGATGAAAGATACAGTACTTGTTGGGAATTCCCAGAAATGCCACTGTGGCATGCAGTGGCCTCAGCATCCGTACCTGTTCCGCTTGCTGAGTCTACCTGGTAGCCGACCTGGTCACCAAGACGCAGGCGTCGTCAGCTGTGAAACGATATTTTTTTGGTGGGGGTAGGGCATGAAGCACGCAAGCCCAAAGATCTTAGGGCAGATTCTTCGGGCCTTGCGGTTCGAACTTTGGTTGGCTGTTTGTTTTTTTGGGGGGCGGTTTGGGCATGACATCGTCTTAATAAGATCGGCACAGAACTTTTTATCTCTGACGGCTTGCGGACACCCGTGGGACGCTACTGCACAGCGTGAGCAGTGCAGCGCCCAGCTCCAGGTCCAACAAACTGCTTCGCACGCATTAGGGGTGTGTGAATTCGCACCTACCCGCATTCCATGATGTGCCACAGGCTGTGAACCAACAGTCAGGTCAGGTTTCCAACTCTGCTTTGAAGCTAAGCATAGGAAAAAAGATACAAACAACTCCTTTTCCCATCAGACTGGTGCTGGCAGAGACTACTTGATCCAAGGTCTTGCCTTTCCAAAGATTTCCCAGGTCACGTCATGGTCCACTTGCATTGAAGGCCCAACGAAGCGAGCCCGGAGCGGTCGAGCACGCAATCACGGTAGTAAAGCATTCACAATGCCATGGATGAACGAGCACAGGACCTGCAAAGCGTGCAAAAACCAACCACCAGGCTTTCTCGTCGCAACTTCCATCGGATTGGCTGGGAACGACCAAGAGTTCGTGCACGGGACGTCCGAAAAGTGCAGCAGGACGTCCGGTCCAGTGACACCACCGCAGTTCTCGAACTGCGAGAACGAACCAGCATGAGCAGCCGCCAAGCGAACGAAACAATAGGTCAGTATGCCAAGGTCAGTCGGTCGCTGGATGCCCGAAAAGGAAACAAAGCAGTGTCCACCGTTTTTAGGGGGAAACAATACATGGCTCTGGTCAAGGTTCTGCCGTCTCAGCCTCACTACTGGAAGGACTTGACCCATCACTGCTCGGTGCAGAACTTTAAGAATGAACTTATGCTTCTGCAGAAGTGCTGTGTCCACATGACATGTTTGTTGAATAGTGGGCAACTGCCGTGGCTGTGGTTCCGATTACGTCCCCTGTTGCCCTGTACCACAGTTTTGCCAGTAAATTTGACCTTTTTCGTCGAGTTTCCAGACTCCAGAAAGCAAACATGATAGGTTCTGAGTGCAACAGGTGGAGTTCAACACAGAATTAGTTGAATCGGTTGGATGGCAAGAATCTGTTGGTCGACTGTCTAGGTCCAACAGGAAGACCCGAACCGAAAAGTTTCTGCCAGTTGCTGAAAGCGGCTCCGTGGGCATAGACCGTCTAATTGTGCCGAAGTAAATGACCTGCGCCATATGCCCTAGGATGCCGTGCACACTCAAAACATTTCAAAACTTAGTGTGATCTCTTTCTTTCCATATATATATATGATATGATATATATTGCCTTTTATGAATCTGTTTCTTATGAATCAACATGTTTTTTTCATTTTCTCTCTCTCTCTCTGCCAGCAACGGACATTTGCACGGTTGTTCAAACCTTTGGAGACGACTCGGCAGCTCTGAACCTCCCGCAGCTGGTAAGAATGTGAAAGCCACCCGAGCAGAGACCACCAAAACCTCGAGAACATCGTATACTATTGTACAACGGACAATTTTTGACTTTGATTTTACTGGTCTCTACTGGGTATGATCCCTTTTGATAGCAAGATGTATAGCAAACCATGCAGGAAACCGGTTGATCGAGCCAATCCCTTGAGACCCAGCCGTCCATGCCGCCCAGGAGCTCCGGGAGGAGAAGTGGCTTTTGGCCTATCTCCCTGGGCAGCGTGGAGGCCGGGGGACCCGCGCAGCTCTGCGAAAGTGCGATCACTGCGGTTTTGGGGAACACCTCATCTCGTCTAGCTGTGTTTTGGGCTAATTTCACATCTCGTCTCCATCTGGAACATTCACCTCAAGGATCGCCGCGCGTTTAGGGTGCCCCTTGGGCTCAGGCGACGTGCCGGACTTCCTGAGCTTCGCGCGGCGACCGATTGTCAGCGAGACCACCACGCTCAAGGCGGGGGACGTGGGCGCCTCGAACGGGAGTGGAGACCGCGGTGGACGGAGGCGGGCGGAGGCGGACGGAGCACGTTGGGATGGAGAGATGGGGAGACTGTGCCAAGCTGATGGAAGTGGGAGACTGTGAGAGACTTTGCCAAAGTTCGTGCAGTTTGGGCTGACTGGATTGTCCTCTACTAGCACAATCGAAGATGCCTTTGGTGTCCAGATGCTTGGGCGGTGGTGAGGAGGGTTTATCAGAGGATTCGGATATGTTCAGTGCAAATGGGCCGCTTTCAACCCTCACCTGTTCCGTCTTGTTCCCCCTTTTTGCATGGCTGATCACCCGATCGGGCGGTGACCGGAGACTCGAGGGATCCGAGTGAGCCAAAGTGGCCAGGAATACCAGCAAGTTGGGGTGAACTGGTTGATCCAGAGTGCCTCGGCCGGCACCAAGCCGTCTCGCATGTTTTGGCTGGAGAACTTGGGAAGAGGCCGGCTCTGCTCATACTCATATCTAAAGGTGGGTAGAGGCGGTCTAATACTGATTCAAGAAGCATAGCCAGTTGCTTGTTGCGTTCTTGTTGCTTTGTCAGACAACGGACTTGAACATTTTTGGGATTATATATACCGACGGACTGAAAGTTAGAATGTCCGTTTGGAAATTTGAACTGACTAATTTTGAGTCCACGGGTACACGAAAACGCCACATTCTATCTGAGGCCTTTTTTAAGCGAAGTAAGAATGTGAAAATTCCGTTTCCATTAAACATGGAATGTGCTGTGGTATATGCTTCATTGCTGCCCTTCCGCGCCCTAGAATGCCTGGCCCAAAGCAGAGAACCGTGCATATAAAGTATATTATATATATATATATATAATGTCGGAGAGATTTAAACTCTCTCTATCTCTCTCTATGCAGCTGTATGCAATATTATGTGCGTGTGCGCAATATTGTGTGTGAAGGGGGCTCATCTATAGCCATGGATGGTCCAATCGGCGACCTGAGGGATGCTTTGCTCCGAGCTCCACCGCGAGGTTCAAATCTGTCGGTAGAGTTTTCCCAGGATGTACGAGTACTGTAACCGGTTGGCCAGTAGCTAGCAGTTTCCGCATTCACATTAGCAGTTAGAATGTGTCTCCTTGAAAGGTGTCGAGCATCGGGAAGGAGCAAAGGAGCCTCCTCTACCGCCTGATACTGCATGAAGTGCCAAAGGCTTTGTTTGGAGTTTAAAGCACAACCTATACACATTCTGTAATATATGTGTGACCCGTTCCTTGATTTGCACTGGCACTGGCAATACAATGAATTCTTCCGAATTCAAACCATGGCGGAGTTTGAGCTCTTTGACGGGGCCTGTTGTGAGGTGATACAGTAACATGGGACAGCGGGGTGGAAAAATGGAGCGATGCTTTAGCACTTGGGGGCATTCTATCTGTGTGTGTTTTTCATCGCTAACTCACTTGTTGCGGACTTAAAGATAGAATGTGTTTTGTTTGTCTATTTTGCTCTACGGACCCCGTCACATTCTAAGTGTATATGGAAATTCATTTGGAAACCAAAACCACATTCTATCTTTCAGTCCGCCGGTATATATATATATATACACCTGAGATGATTGATGATCACAACTAAGACTAAGCTCCCCCTGTGCTAAATTTTCTTGAAGAGCCTCAGCAGAAGACCTGAGGCTTTTTCAATCGATGTGGAGGAATTCTGGCGGATGATATGGGCTTGGGGTGTGCCTGCGCATGCTTTTGTGCCCTCTCGAGGGGATAGCTTTTTGATTGTGAAGTGAGGTGAAATGACAGTGAGGATGCTGTTTGTCGTGGAAAATTGATGCGTTGACCTCAGTACATGATGGTACACGACTTGTGATCACACCGTCCCAGAAAGCAGGGTATCAATCATTTCAGCCCTGTCTGGTCACTGTGAGGTGAGGCCACATGACCGCACATGTGTGTGTGAGGGTTGTACATGTTTGTCGATAGCCGGCTCATCGAACTGGTACGCATTTGGCCGAGCGCGAGTCGCTGTCTCGTCCAAGTCTCGCCAGGAAGACCCTTCAGACGCTGGCATTTCTCAGTTACCTGCAGGTCAGGTCGTGTGTGCCAGATTGTTTGGAAGTGATGGGATCCAGGACCGCCTACACCATTTGGGAATAGAAAGCCGTACTTGTATACTTGCATCTATCTATCTATCTATCTATTCACTTGAGAATAGTTAGAGGAGCGTCACGTGGTTCCAAGCTTGCCACGCATCTCGCGACACGCTTGGTGCCTCCCACGCCCGCTCACCTAACCCGGCGTGCCGCCCTCCGCGCGAGGCCTCGGGGTTTTCACGAGGCCCTGCCCTTGTGGTGGTTCCCTTGAGCTGCGCGGGGAATTGGGCCCGAGAGGCCTGGAAGAGTGCGGTTGGTGTTCATTGGAGGAGGGCGTGGCAAAATGAGAAGTTCGTTTTTTTCCACGTGGCGTACGCGGGTGGTGTTGAGGTGCCAAAGCAAAACCAACCAGGTTGGGGATGACTGGTTTGGGGATGTTTTGGGGGGGGCATCACGTTTTTGATTTCAGAGGTGGCATCAAACAGTCAGGCTGTAGGTCCTAGGTCATTTCTTCATCTGGATTGGGATGTGCCCACACGTGTCACCCGTGTCATGCTTTGGAGGGAGGTGCTTGATGGTTTGAGTATTTCCAGTTGGCCAAGCGGTGCAAGTTATTCCAGTCAGCCGGCTGGAATAATGGAAAGTCAGCCTTTGGATGTATTTGGAAAGTCGGTGACTCCATGACACCTGAATGATATTGTATATGTAAAATGTGATCCGTGTACTCCGTGTACCTTTATAAGGTAAAACATGGATTTTTCAGTTTACAAGAATGGAGGATTTCGAGCTTCGATGTGGGTGGTTGGATCAGCTGTGTCTCGAATGGAGGACTTTCTCTTTGCTGCGAATCAGAAGGCATGTTGGCGTGCAGGTGATTGTCAATCGACCTTGAGACTGGATGAGCATCACCGGGAAAGACAGCCAAGGGTTTTGCACCTTTTTTTTCTGCGCGTGATATGACTACGATTGAGAAATGATCCGGATGCAAAATTGGAGTTAGAATCCGTGATGCAAAGTGGGCGTTAGAATCAGTGAGCTTTAGAGTGCATGACCTTCATTCCGCTGTCGCCGGGCTCGCGTCTTGCGTGGTCGAAGGGGCTCGCCGGCCCGACCGTCTCATTGTCTCCGTCTGAGTGCGGAACGGCGTTTGATGTCATGGTGAACGAGCACAAAAACGGCCAAGAGTGGCTGAACAAGCACTCACAAGGCATCTTAGAGTGGCTGAAGTTCTGAAGTGAAGTAGATGTTGTATCTTCAAGCGCTGGTGCGGTTTTTGAGTCCTCCAGGGATGCAGGTTGACGAGATGTTGATGCAGGATTGATGGGTTGTCATTTCAACATGGTATTTCCATGGTGGCGAATGCATCCTTGCATTCCTTGACATGAATGTCATTGCATAACTCCCATACTTACATCCACAGCTGGGGGTAGGATCTCCTTTGGTGGAGCCATAGCACCTGATGCTCTGACCTTGTGCGCAAAGCTCCTGGATACCTGTTACTTGGTGGCGCTCAAAGAGGCATGTTTTGCTCGGTCGCCAAATCGTTGTGACGGTCGCTGAAATTCTTCGAGCTCTCACCCCGAGCCACCTCATAGTTGAAAGAAACAACCTGTGAAGCATGCCAGTTTTGCAATGATCGTGCTATATATCAATGTATATAAGATAGGAACTCGCTGGACATTATTTTTCCCCAAAAGCCCGAAGCTGACCAGAAAATGCATGGTGCCTTCTTCCATCAAATTTGGCTACAGTATATATATATATATATGTGAAGCATGCAGCACCCTTTTGTTCAGTAAAATTGCATGTAACTCTATTACACGAATCACAAGCTCGCTCGGAAGGCCAAGCGCTTCGTGCCGCACCTTTCGATTGCCAAGGTGCCTGTGGTTGGAGGGATGCGTAGACCAACCTTTTGCAAGTCAACAGACGAGCCATGATTGAATGCAGTTTCCTGCTTTCGAATCATGTTAGCCACCCTCAAAAGGCTCAGGTTGCTCAATGTCCCTTGGACCATTTCAGAGGTTAGACGGGCTATTTCCGCGTTTCGGTGCCAAACATCTTGCCTCACCATCACCTCGTCCATGGTTTCCTCGAGTGTTTTTGAGGTCTGTGGGAGCGTGAAGGAACGGCAGCACAGTCTGGACGACAACGAAATTTGGTACGGCATGAAGGAGCGCGCCGCGTCCTACGACCGTTGCGGGGCGCTCGGTCCTACGACGGAATGGGGCCGAAGAGGTGGTTGGTTCAGAGGGGTTCAGCCAAGCCATACCCGGCCGAGTCGTGAAGGGTTCGATTGGTGTACCCGATGGTGGACCCAGTGTGCCTCGCTTTCGCTGCAAATCGATGCAGAAGTTGCAGCTGAAAGCGCTGAAACAGCGCCAGAGCTTTTGTTGGGCACCTGGGCCACTGAAATTTCCCACTTCTCTTCCAAAGCGGAAGGGGGAGACCCCAAGTAGGACACATTCCCTGCCACTTTTCCCGCTGAGCAGGACATCATCATCACGACTTACGAGACTTTGGTGAGCACCGAGGCTTGTGGAAGGTACATCATCATTTTGGATGCGTCTCAGCATGGGCGAGCAGGGAGACCTCTGCCGTGTTTAGGCTGTGTTAAGCACCCGGTTTAGGACTACTATTCATTTACTATTATCAAATTATCACCCCTTCGCACCTCACCAAAGCATACCAAAGCTACTTTCACACCTCACCAGACTCCGTCCACTGCTAAGTCCGCAGGACTTCTTCCAGCGACACCTGTGGTCCGTCCTCGTGCTCGACGAGGCGCTTTTGCCCGCACCCGCGGTGCCTTTGCCCGCCATGCATGGCGGGGAGGTCAGTGGTGCGTGGTGTTGGGAGACTAGGCCAGCTAGGCTAGCTAGGCTAGGTGGGAGACTAGGTCGTTAGAGGCATGGAGGCGTGGTCGTGGAGCCTTTTTGGGACCCCCTCTTTGGGCTGTACGCACGATATTAGCAGAGTTTGATGGGTCGCGTACAGTTTTGGCAGGAACCTGGCAGGTGCCATGAAGGTTACTGAAATGCAAAACATTGCCATGTCCAAAATGGGACAGATCAGATGATCCACTCTCCAACCAGTACTTCAGTTTCCTGCCATGGGTCCGATTCCCGCTTGATTTCACCTTGCCTCGATTTCACCTTGTCCAACCGTTGTCTGTCTTGAGGCCCACCGAATCAAGAACCGGAACAGCAAGGTGAGGGAGGTGGGGCACCTGAGTAGAGGAAACAGCATCGAACAGCAACTCAGAGAGACCGCGAGAGACGAGTGTCGTATATCTCAAGATAGACCTGCGAAGACCCTGACTGCGAAGGAGCTCGGGGAGGATGAAACCATTGATGAAACCAGTGTGTAGCTTCTGTGGAGCACCCTCCGCTGAATGGGAATAGGGCCAAAAGCAAGTGGGACATGTCGTTATGTACGTACACCTTGGTGTGGATTTCGATGAAATCTGGACATTGATTTGAAGGGACATGTCCATCATTTGTCCCAAGCCCATCATTTGTCGTGGTGAAGAGGCCCCGTTTTAACAAGGAACATAGGCAGACTGGTTGTTTTGGGGAGGCTGGGCTTGTACAGGAGGATAGGCACCGCACTGGTTGTGATGCCTCCGAGACGTCAGCAGTGGGGAATGTTGAAAAATCACTTCCGAGCCAGGCAGATTTGACCGCAAGGTCTAACAGTTGACCTTGCAGTCGTAGAAAAGCTGCGTTGGGCTTGAGTGATCAGGTCAAAATTCCCACCATTGCCATGCCGAGGTGATGGACACCGTGCCGTGCGCGGCGCGGTTCCTTCTCACAGGCACCCCTTTGCAGGTGCACCACTGCATGGGAGGGAGAGAGTTGTAAGCATGGCAGCATGGACACACAGTGAACCTCTCCAGTCTGACACCCAGCCACAGCCCCAGCCCAGACATCACTACGACCAGTGTTCCACTGATCCACTGTGATCCACTGTGATCCACCCATCAGAACAACTTGGGGGAACTCTTCGCGCTGCTGAAGTTCCTTTGGCCGGACATCATGGCCAAAGAGTCTGAGGCGCAAGATCCGAACAGATGGTTTGTTCGATCGTGAGGGTCACCTGCAGCCCACAGAGAACGTCAAGCTTGTTCTTTTTGTTTCGCCTTAACACCCTTGATACATCTTGATACTACAATGCCAATCTTTCCTGAACAAGAAGGGGGAATAACATGGAATAACTACTGCACGACTCTGTGCTCGATGGTGCGTTCTTGGGTTTGAAGCTTCTCCTTGGATTTGGAACATGTTCTAAACTTCAGACATACAAGACTTTATGCTTCTTACCAGTTTCTCAGGACACCATGAGGTCAGCCGCCGATAGATCGCCGGCCAACTCTTATGTATATATATATATACATATTATATAGCAGTCTTATTTCCTGACTGAGTGATTATGTTCGCAAGGTCCCACCATTTGATTCATCAAGCACAACTTTTTGTTTGGCCGGTGTATATATATCTTGAATGATCTTGATGTTTGCCCAGCAACGGCCTCTTGAAAAATGGGTCACACGACGGGGCGCTCCCTCTCCCTCCTTCGAACTTCTCGCTGCGCAGATGTTCGAGAATGCAATTCAGCTTCCAGAGCTTCAAGACAAGGCTGATCACGCGACCGGGTCACACGGGTCCGCGAAGACACGACCCAAGCGACCCGTGGTTGACCAATATCAAAAGCCCCGTGGTGTTGGCGACCGCAAACATCCCCAAACAGCGCATCGACATCAGCTCAAGGGCCCGAAACACCAGTAGATGAGTGAAGATTTTGTGGAGCAGAACCTTATCTCAACCAGACTTGCGAGGGTAGGAGCTGCTCGGCTAGGATCTCACTCTCCTAGACTAGCCGGTTGCCACAGACTGGCACCGCGAACGTATGGCAGACTGCAAACGTCTGCGCGATCGGCACCATGGACGTCGCGTTTGTGGCATGTTCGGCACCGTGGACGCGTGATCCAAGGCCCAGGACGAAAGTTCCAAGGCCAAAGTGGATCACGTCTTGGTGCGGCATTCCCAGAGGTCTTTTCTGTCCGGCAGGAAGGATGAAGGAATGGGAGGGACCCGAAGAGAATTGGGTGTTTCGTCACACCGGACGGAACGAGACCGTGATTGGAGGATTGAAAGGTGTTCTCAGCATCCTGTCAACCAGTAAATCAGACATCAAAAGACTAAGCAAACTAGAAACGCCTGCATTTTTTTCGAGGCAATGATTTCTAACATTTAAGGAGACTTTCCACCTATGTGATGTTCTGGAGGAGGGGAATGCCATGGAATGCCCTTTCTATCCCTTTCTAATGATTCCGTTCTTTTTTTGGTCGTGAGCCAACACCAGTACTCGGCTTCCTTGCAGTCCTATCAGGTGACTGGCTCAACAAAAAGGATCACTGGCACAGGCACAGGCCATGGCACAGGTTATGGGGTCCTTTTCTCTCGCTTCGGCCGTCGTCCCACCGGTTCGTCCCACCGGTGGCCGGCCCAGCCGTCGTCCCTCCGCGTCGCTTCGTCGAGGTGCAGAAGATCCGACACATTTTGGCTCCTCGGTTAGCTGGACCAGTGGAGCACAGGTCGACCCAGGTTGCTTTTTTTTTGATTGTGTCTTTTGGGTCGCGAATGGAATTCCTGGGCAGAACATCCAAGAATTCGGTAGAAGATGGGATATTTGCGGTGTTGTGACAGCCCTTTTCAGAGATATGATAAACTACGCACACTCTTAAAGTTTATATAAAAGAAATAATTGTGGGATTGACCAGCGATTGCTCTGATGGAGTTGCGAGTTTCCTTTTTAGACTATTTCACCGAACAACTCGAAGCATGGAAACATGTTCCTTGTGCATCCTCTCCTTGACCGAAATCGCTCCGTTCGGGCATGTTTCACCTTTGGGGATGGCAGCCAGGCAGCCGAATCCGAGACTAAAGACTGGTGCCATG